ATGGCAGCTAGATAACGAAGGGACGATGAGTTGATGACGTGACTACTGAGGATGGCGCGGAGATGAAGGACGATGACTAAGATGACGTGCAGCCTCCAGGACAGCTGCTGGGAACACAGCTGCTGGTCGCGCACCGCAGCGCGCACTTCACCACCGTGATCACGTGTATATATATATATATATATATATATATATATATATATATATATATATATATATATATATATATATATATATATATATATATATTATATATATATATATAATGTCGTACCTAGTAGCCAGAACGCACTTCTCAGCCTACTATGCAAGGCCCGATTTGCCTAATAAGCCAAGTTTTCATGAATTAATTGTTTTTCGACAACCTAACCTACCTAACCTACCCTAACCTAACTTTTTCGGCAACCTAACCTAACCTAACCTATAAGATAGGTTAGGTTAGGTTAGGTAGGGTTGGTTAGGTTCGGTCATATATCTACGTTAATTTTAACTCCACAAAATAAAATTGACCTCATACATAATGAAATGGGTAGCTTTATCATTTCATAAAAAAAAAAAAATAGAGAAAATATATTAATTCATGAAAACTTGGCTTATTAGGCAAATCGGGCCTTGCATAGTAGGCTGAGAAGTGAGTTCTGGCTACTAGGTACGACATATATATATATATATATATATATATATATATATATATATATATATATATATATATATATATATATATATATATATATATATATATATATATATATGTATAATTAAGGTATTCATACATGGGGAAGTGTCGAAGCGTTGCCTGGGATGCAGAGTGGATTAAAATCACCAGTTGGTTATGTAAAACTTCCACGTAAAATATTCCTTCTTGTCTAATTTCCTCTTCCTGTCACGTAAGAGTCGGGGGGGGAGATATGTCTTCTTCTCGATATGTAAGAACTAGCAAGACTTGCCCACATATTATCCAGATTATAATTGTTATTCTTGTTTCGCGTTCTCTTTTTCAACTTATACTCATTAGTATGATTCAATTTCTTTTGGATGACGAGCCTTTTCACGTTCAGATAACTATATGGACATATATAGAGATACTGATATACGGAGACGGGAGGTATACTGGCATATATATGGACTGATGGCTATATAGACAGGAGCATATTCATTGCAGGATGATAAGCAAATAGAAATATACGGATAGATATAAATTATCAATATCTCAAAGATATGTATTTAAAAAAATCTTAGATGTGTCTCCTAGGAGAAAATGCTAGTTGCGTTAAAAGTTTAAGAAATTGAAATGGTTGAAATATTTGTAAGAAAATTATCATTTTGTGGTAAATAATGGAAGTATCTTAGTGCTCTCCTAACTTACCTTACCTTATCTTACCTTACCTTACCTTACCTATCTCGAGATATTAGACGGTTGTCCACGTAACCTTTCAGAAGAAAGTGAAGAGAAAAGACAACGAAATCGTCTTCCTTTCATCTTGTTTCTTGTTCCTTTCTTGCAAAAGAAACAAGAAATATACAAGCACAGTTATGTCACTCAATATATATATATATATATATATATATATATATATATATATATATATATATATATATATATATATATATATATATATATATATATATAATATATATATCAAGACTCCGCACCAATATAGAAGCATCAAAAAATATTGGCCAATAGGCCCTTTGCAGTTACTTCCATTCTTCCCTTTAACTTACAATATATATATATATATATATATATATATATATATATATATATATATATATATATATATATATATATATATATATAATATGTGTGTGTGTGTGCGGAAAAACCACAAAGAAATGTGAAAGAGAGATGAATATATGTGATAAATGAAAAACTGAAAACAAAAAAATCCTAGTGCCTCAAATAGCAGTCTTTTTAAATTAGAGTAAATCTACCCACGCCTCAGAACATGATGAAGCAAAATATCATCATATTACCATTAGTAACCAATTTAAATCAAACGATTCAGTGTTAACAATGGAACCGATGAACTAACCGCAATTTGGCCGTCAAATAGCGAAAGTGATTTCCATTGATGACTACATTAAACAAAATTATATAAATCAGGCAAAGTACCAAACGACTCGAAATCACCAAATGGCACACAATTTTTTACGGAAGGAACGAGACGTGATCGTTGAATTATCACCATATTACCCTGACATCAGTTATGGAGAAAATTATGGGAACCATTTTTAAGAAGAGAATCGTAAATTTTATAGAAAACGTGAGTTTAGTCATTTGTTATGCACCCTATACCTTATCCCGTGGGTGGAGATGGAACGACCCGTCCTCTTAATAATACGACGGGCGTGAAGGCAACAGTGACGGATGGGGGGTGAAGGCAGCAGTGAAGGACGGACGTGAAGGCAGCAGTGACGGACGTGGGGTGAAGGCAGCAGTGAAGGACGGACGTGAAGGCAGCAGGAGGTAGTGCTTAAGTAGAAACCATAACATCACCACGTTACTTTCCACTTGTGTGTGTTGGATATCTAAACTTGTAGCCAGGTTATTGAGGCTTTATTTCAGTAAGGATGATGGTGTTCCCTGGCACTGACCCAGGTCTATGGGGGCAGTGTGGTGGAGGGTGAACCAGTGGGCTCCCTTCCTGGCTACCACCTCACTGACCCCACCACAGCGGCAGCTTCGTGCTCTCCTGCTTCAAGCATGGTCTCCTGCTTCAAGCGTGGTCTCCTGCTTCAAGCTTGGTCTCCTGCTTCAAGCATGGTCTCCTGCTTCAAGCTTGGTCTCCTGCTTCAAGCGTGGTCTCCTGCTTCAAGCGTGGTCTCCTGCTTCAAGCTTGGTCTCCTGCTTCAAGCATGGTCTCCTGCTTCAAGCATGGTCTCCTGCTTCAAGCATGGTCTCCTGCTTCAAGCGTGGTCTCCTGCTTCAAGCATGGTCTCCTGCTTCAAGCATGGTCTCCTGCTTCAAGCATGGTCTCCTGCTTCAAGCATGGTCTCCTCCTTCAAGCATGGTCTCCTGCTTCAAGCATGGTCTCCTGCTTCAAGCATGGTCTCCTGCTTCAAGCATGGTCTCCTCCTTCAAGCATGGTCTCCTGCTTCAAGCATGGTCTCCTGCTTCAAGCATGGTCTCCTGCTTCAAGCATGGTCTCCTGCTTCAAGCATGGTCTCCTGCTTCAAGCATGGTCTCCTGCTTCAAGCATGGTCTCCTGCTTCAAGCGTGGTCTCCTGCTTCAAGCGTGGTCTCCTGCTTCAAGCATGGTCTCCTGCTTCAAGCATGGTCTCCTGCTTCAAGCATGGTCTCCTGCTTCAAGTATGGTCTCCTGCTTCAAGCATGGTCTCCTGCTTCAAGCATGGTCTCCTGCTTCAAGCATGGCTTACAGGAAAACGAGCACAAGCTCATTCCTCGAGCGGGAAATCTAGTTCACAATATCATTTCTTCCGGCATGACAAAGCCTCAGTTTCCACTCTGTGATGTACACCTCACTGTAGTCTACTTTATACTGTTTCTAATATAAATTCCCATTTCACATGTCGATCACAGTATCTACTTTTCACTTATTCAAGATATTTAGTTTCAGATACTTTTTTATACAACTTTCTAATCCTCTGAAATTCTAAAGGTTTATTGAAGTCTAGTCTTCGTCGTTTTAGCTCAACCAAGTTTAATCTCTTCTTAATTTATTCTCTCATTCTGTCCTAAGGTCTTCAGATTTTCACTTTATCTGTCTTGTCACCCTCGGTATACACGCCGTCTCCGCTTCTTCCTCCCATCGCTCGGAACCTAAGTGGTAATGTGCTTTAAGAAGAGCGCGGGGAGTTGAGGAAGACTTCGAGTGTTTGTTGACGTCTCGACTCTGGCAGGCATGTGACCAGGGCGAAAAGATTTCTGAGGAAGTTTGCAGTTTGTGTGTGTGTGTGTGTGTGTGTGTGTGTGTGTGTGTGTGTGTGTGTGTGTGTGTGTGTGTGTGTGTGTGTGTGTGTACTCACCTATTTGTGCTTGCGGGGGTTGAGCTTTGGCTCTTTGGTCCCGCCTCTCAATTGTCAATCAACTGGTGTACAGGCTCTATCATATCTACATTTGAAACTGTGTATGGAGTCAGCCTCCACCACATCACTGTGTGTGTGTGTGTGTGTGTGTGTGTGTGTGTGTGTGTGTGTGTGTGTGTGTGTGCGTGCGTGCGAGCGCGATTTTAGTGATATTTTTATATCTATGATTTTATATTTTCATGTTTTTTTCCTCAAATTTATTTGGGACTCGTACATGTTGATGGCCGAGAGTGGGGGGTGGGTCTGGGGAGAGCCGCCGGTCAGAGAGCACCACACACTGGGTCACACAGCAGCCCCTCAACCTTCAATCCTCGAAACCTTGAAATTTCAGTGTACTGTAAATTGAATGTTTCTACATTATATAAAGGATAATATTCTATAGGATTTGTCTACCAACTTGGAGTAGACGGTAGAGCGAAGGTCTTGTTTCTTTCTCGGCGTTCAATCCACGACTGTCCATTCCCCCCCCCCCCACCCCATTGTCCAATCCTAAATCCTAATCCTCTTACCCCTTCCAAGGGCTATATAAGGGATAACTTTCTTCCGATAATTTATTCACCGCTCCTGTGCCAGGTAAGTCCACTACGGGCTCACCATAGCCCGTGCTACTTGCCCCGCTCCTGTGCCAGGTAAGTTACGGGCTCACCATAGCCTGTGCTACTTGGAACTTGTTCCGAGTAGCTGAATCTATAACAACCACATTCCGATAATTATCTTACCTTTATAGCTAAAATAAGTTAATGATAAAGGTAAGACAGTCTCGTTGACTGTCTTACCGACTGTTCAGCAAGACAGTCAGTAAGACTACGAACAGTCAGTCGTGCTCCGTGTCTCGCCACGGTGTGAGGCCACGGTCGTAGTTACGAGGGCGTGGCCTGCTTGGGTGATTACGTAGGTAGTTAGTGTGTTGAGTGGCGTGAGCCCAGGGCGGGTCCCCCGGTAACGTGAGCATGGAACACCTTGTTGAGAACACAGAACGCCTTGACAAGAACACAGAACACCTTGTTGAAAGCACAGAACGCCTTGACAAGAGCACAGAACGCCTTGACAAGAGCACAGAACGCCTTGACAAGAGCACAGAACGCCTTGATAAGCGCACAGAACACCTTGTTAAGAACACAGAACACCTTGTTGAGAGCACAGAACGCCTTGACAAGAGCACAGAACGCCTTGACAAGAGCACAGAACGCCTTGATAAGCGCACAGAACACCTTGTTGAGAACACAGAACGCCTTGACAAGAACACAGAACGCCTTGACAAGAGCACAGAACACCTATTCGTACCTATAAGGACGGTACGCGCGCTGCTTGCCCTTCTCTGGAACTGAAACAACCCCTCATCCCTTTCGAACACTGTCTCTCAATTGTTGTTACGAAGGTTTGCTCTCGTCTCTATTCGTTTTCCCATGAGCGTTCGTGAAATATAATCCTTCTGTTCGTGTAAGTTGTTCAAAGATTCGTTCCATTCGCATGTGTACAAAATGCTTAAAATTTCTCAAGGCTTCAAATTAGAATAATTTACGCGAATTCTTGTGAAAAAAAAATATTTAATTCGTGAAAAAGTAGAACATTCCTTCCACTATTCGCGTAAGGAAGAAATATTCTTAGTACATTCGTGTAGGTGAAGTATTCGTGAATATTCGAATGTAGCATAGCATTCTATTCTCCCTTTTGTGATCTTTCTCCTCCCTCCTTCTCTCTCCTCTTCCTCTCTTCTCCTCTCTCTTCTCCTCCTTCCTGCTCCCGTAATTTTTAATTTTTAATTTTGCCCCGATGGTCGAGTTCATTAGGCAGCGTCTCTCATTCAGTGAGTGGACACACCGCCATAGCAGCATGTACAACACTCCACAATAGGAAGAAAATCCGCTGGGTTGTTCATCCTGTCACTTGTACCCAGACACAGCTGGGACTTGCTTAACTGTCTCAAGTGAACAGCTCCTCAAACAAGAAGATTTACCAACCCTCCCAAAATTTACGTTATCTTGCGGGTGCAAAAAAAGGGGGGGGAGTCTTTTAAGAACAGTATATATTTTTGACAAATGGTATTTACTCAATGTGAGAGTTTGTTATGCAATACATATTTCTAATGTGTCTTAGATGTTGACATTGTGCCCAGGTAGGGGTCCTGTGTGCGTGAGGCAGAGTGCCTGGCTGGCACCCTGCCAGAGTGCCTAACTGGCACTCTCACACGAGGCCAGCTTGGGCCCGCCTTCCTTGTTTCATTGATTGCCAGGAACTAATATTTACCGCGAGTGACGCGGGTCCCTCACGCACCTTCACTCATTGCTCCAAGACGCCGTCTTTCCTGGCCTCTCTGGCACTCTCACTGCCTCCAGTTACTCAACAGGTGCCACTAAGGGCAAGCGGCTATTACCTTGTCATTATTTATTTCGACACCTGCATCACTTAACCCCAAACACCTGCCAATTAAGGTCCAACAGCTGGTTTAAGACGCTGACACCAGTCACAGCCTCCACTGACTTAGCTGACGGCTGCTTCTGGCACCTGTGTTGATGTTTACTACATCCGGCTCCAAATTACATGGTTGAAGGCGCTGATATCCGACAGTACCAGTGGTAATTATTTTTGCCGACTAGGTTGGCGTCATTACTGCAGTTTGCTGACGAATATCTCCTGCTTCTTCTTGCGCTAATGAGTTCCTTGGTGGGTTGCCCACGTCCTCTTGTGGGGTGGGTTGCCCACGTCCTCTTGTGGGGTGGGTTGCCCACGTCCTCTTGTGGGGTGGGTTGCTCGCGTCCTCTTGTGGGGTGGGTTGCCCGCGTCCTCTTGTGGGGTGGGTTGCTCGCGTCCTCTTGTGGGGTGGGTTGCTCGCGTCCTCTTGTGGGGTGGGTTGCTCGCGTCCTCTTGTGGGGTGGGTTGCTCGCGTCCTCTTGTGGGGTGGGTTGCCCGCGTCCTCTCGTGGGGTGGGTTGCCCACGTCCTCTCGTGGGGTGGGTTGCCCACGTCCTCTCGTGGGGTGGGTTGCCCACGTCCTCTCGTGGGGTGGGTTGCCCACGTCCTCTCGTGGGGTGGGTTGCTTGTGCGCAGGCAACCCCTGCTCATTGTTGCAGGTGACTGTGGCACTCGTTAATGATAATGACAAGAAGTGGATTAGTGTCAATTTACAGAAGCGACTTTGTAAATAGAATGATTGTGATTGTATATTTAACGATAATAACATAATACAGCTTACGCATAGGGATCAACGATAACTAGAATACAACAAGAATACAACAAACAAAAGCCGAATACAACAGACGAGGAGTCACAATAACGTGGCTGAAAAAATATTGACCAAACCACATACTAGAAAGTGAAGAGACGACGTTTCGGTCCGTCCATTCTCAAGTCGATTGTGCTGATAGCCTTACTGATAGCGTTACTGATAGCACACCTGGTAACGCACCAACACGTAGGAAATGTCAGTGGTGACGACGTTTCGATCCGTCCTGGAACACTATCAAGTTAAGATGGATCGAAACGTCGTCTCTGTCATTCCATAAGTGTGTGAGAGTTGGAATATATTTCCTTTCAGGCAAGTTATTGTGACAATCTCCGCAGTGAGACGATAAACAATTTGATGACTACCTATAAAACCTTACAAGAGAAGTGAATATAATGAGATGACACGGCTTGACAGGTGTACCGATCTCAGGTGAGGCACTTAAGTACCAAGGACCAGGTGAGAGTCCTGTGTACAGCACTAGCCGGAAACACCGGCTAGTGTTTCCGTTAGTGTTAGTGTAGTATACCCACCAAATAGGGGGTATAGGTGTTGTGTTATACCCCCTATTAGACTATTTTACAGGAACTTCTTTTCCACACCTCATAAAACGGAGGAAAGGGTCCTGAAAGATATTGTTAATAGAAACGTTATCCCTACAGACAAAAATCAGAGGATACAACTGACGATTTACTATAAAACCAGAAAAACGGCCAGCCTACTCATGAGAAACTCTCCAGACACAAAACAGAACGCTTTAAAAGAGACCAACGTCGTCTATGCCTTCAAATGCCCTCTTGGGGACTGTAAGCTCCAAAAAACCCAGTATATAGGCAAGACAACAACATCTCTTTCTAGGCGTTTAACGATGCATAAGCAACAGGGCTCCATTAAGGAACATATAATCTCTTCCCACAACCAAACCATCGCCAGAGAAATCCTAGTAAACAACACAGAAATCATCGATAGATACAGCGATAGCAGGCGGCTTGACGTTTGCGAGGCACTACACATTAAAAAGTCAACACCAGCAATCAACAGCCAATTAATGCACAACTATATTCTACCCACCTCAAGATTCCGCTCCAATATAGAAGCATCAAGAAATATGGACCAATAGGCTTTCTACAATCATTTCCATTCAATACCCATTGTTTCGTGTTCTGTCTTGTGTTGATGATTTAATACCCTATTAATACCACCTCACCCCATCCACCTCACTCAAATGTAGATATAAACAAACCGGAGATGTGTAAGTTCTATTCAGTTGTGTATGTGTAAACTAAAGTCTTTGAAAATGTAATAAGTTTTACGAAACGCGCTCAAGTGTCGCGTCAGACTAGAAATAAAAATGAATTTGGGAGAATTGATTTTTGAATTACCACCAACAGTGAAAAGAAATGTACGAAAAATTGAGAAAATTCGTGTTTAGAATTATTAATCTTACTTTTTCGGTCATATTTATTAATATATATATATATATATAAATATCTATATATATATATATATATATAGATATATATATATATATATATATATATATATATTTATATATATATATATATATATATATATATATATATATATATATATATATATATATATATATATATATATATATATATATATATATATATATATATATATATATATATATATATATATATATATATACCCTCGCTACTCCTCTCTATACCCCCCCCCACCAGTCACCCCTCAGCAACACCCCCCCCCACCAGTCACCACACTCAGCAACACCCCCCCCCCACCAGTCCACACACTCAGCAACCCCCCCCCCCACCAGTCACCACACTCAGCAACACCCCCCCCCCACCAGTCACCACACTCCAGCAAACACCCCCCCCCACCAGTCCCAACAACTCAGCAACACCCCCCCACCAGTCACCACACTCAGCAACACCCCCCCACCAGTCACCACACTCAGCAACACCCCCCCCCGACCCCCCACCCCCCCCCCCACCAGTCACCACACTCAGCAACACCCCCCCCCCCACCAGTCACCCACTCTCAGCAACACCCCCCCCCCCACCAGTCACCACACTCAGCAACACCCCCCCCCCCACCAGTCACCACACTCTCAGCAACACCCCCCCACACCAGTCACCACACTCAGCAACACCCCCCCCCCCCACCAGTCACCACACTCTCAGCAACACCCCCCCCCCCACCAGTCACCACACTCAGCAACCACACCCCCCCCACCAGTCACCACACTCAGCAACACCCCCCCCCCACCAGTCACCACACTCTCAGCAACACCCCCCCCCAGTCACCACTCTCAGCAACACCCCCCCACCAGTCACCACACTCAGCAACACCCCCCCCCCACCAGTCACCACACTCAGCAACACCCCCCCCCCAAACCAGTCCACCACACTCAGCAACACCCCCCCCCCCCCACCAGTCACCACACTCAGCAACACCACTGACGGTCCTTACGTCGGAGCGCGTATCGATTACAGTGAAAAATCAAACAGAAATTACACTTCCATTGCAGAGCAAACACGAAATCCTGGCAGAGGTAATGAGGTGTTTAATAGAGCCTCCGAGGACTCTATATATACACCCCAACACCTCTATTGGCGACCCACGTAGGCTCTATTCACCCCTTGCATTAATGTCCTCTTTAAGAACTAACATTATAAGGGACAGCTTTGGGTTGTGAGGTTGTAACTTTGTTTTATTTTTTCTCTCATACACATCCCCAGGAAGCAGCTCTGTAGCAGCTGTTTAACTCGCAGGTACCTATTTACTGCTAGGTATCAGGAGCATTAGGGTGAAGGAAACTATGTTCATTTTTTTTCCGGCAGTGCCGGGGATCGAACTCCGGTCCTTAGGTCTACGAGTATAGAGCGCTGTCCACTCAGCCACCATCCCCGCAACTGTGGCTGTGTACTCACCTAGTTGTGGTTGCGGGGGTTGAGCTTTGGCTCTTTGGTCCCGCCTCTCAACCGTCAATCAACTGATGGTATCATCGTCATCCACTCGCATTATCATCTGTTTAATGTTCGTATTTAGACTAACATAAATAAGAAAAGGGAAGGTTATCATACTGTCAAGCACGGCCAAGCACGGCCAAGCACGG